TCAGACTATTAGTGACCTTAGTGAGGATGTAGTCGCAGTTCCCACTGAAGGTGAAGGTTTTTCCATCATAAGTGGTGACGTGAGACCCTCCAACAACAGAGCAGATTCCAGGACAGTCCAGGTATGAGCAGGTCCAGTGTCCAGCATCACATGTACTGGTAAGGAAAGTAAGCAGCGTTAGTTTGGTGAAATTCTGTTTAAAGGTTCGTTTTTCTGTGCTTAACTCACCATGTTTTACAAGCCTGTGTGTACGAGTCTCCTGAGAAGTAGGTTTTGTTATTGTGTACACATGGGCATTTGTTCACTGGAACACATCCACTCTGACCGATGTCATCCTCGACCATACCTTTACAAAAAACAAGGCAAAGTGGTGAACAAGACTGAGCACAAAACAGTTCTGATATGAAGCTGTCTTCACTGTTAATGTAAGAATAAGCATATTCATGTGAGGACAAGCTATATTTGAAGGATCTTCAGACAAACTAAACCACACTAATAGGGAAATGATGATTTATAATAATAATAAATATAATTCATAAAACATGTTTTCAAAGCTATTATCACACAACTTTTCCTCCATTAATTTTAACAGAACAAGAATACAATTTAAACTAACAAATATATTTCATAGATTCATAAAAATATGTTTACTTTGAAGAATTCTGCAAATATTTGTACAGAGCTGTAAAACGTTAAGTTTTATTAGTTAACCATTTAAATTAATTTGCATATTATGCTATTCTCATTAAAATGTAATTTAACCAAACCAATCAAACTGAAAAATTGGGGGAACATATACTTTTTTTTTTTTAATTCATAGAGCCATTCTCTTCTTGTGGAAATGTTATAATAATGTAATGAAATCATATAATAATGAATTATAAAACAAAAAATAAACTATAATGATAAACAAATCAGTAAGTCACTTTTCACCTTCAGGGCAGAAGCAGCCGTCCACACAGTGATCGGTACACATCAGATCTGCAGTTGGGGCTGAGCAGGTGCTCTTGCATGGACCACCACACTCCAGGTACAGCAGGTTTAGAGGACACGTCTTTGCTGCTCAAAAAAAAAAACCCCAATTATTACGTTACTTCACGAATATATACATTAAATTTGCACATAAACATAAATTGTTTTTACTTGGTCATCCACAAACTAAAAGTACAAGTCTTTATTATTTAATTAGCTTTTTCTCAGCAAGTTAAAATGTTATCATTTGTGTGGCTGTTTCTACTTAAGTGAATTATAATGTTGTACAGTATAAAGAATTATAATCTCACAGTATTAAAGAATGCTAATGCTAAACTTACAGACAATTATGGAATAAACAAGAAAGAAATATACTCGTTTTATTACGTTTATTTATTTATTTTTTGCTCTTTATATTTATGTATAGTTCTAGTTACAGTATACATAGTTTTATATATTTATGAATGTTGGTATGCTTTTATAATTTTCATTTATTTTATTTACAAATTTTTGTTTTCATTTATTTTCCTTCGGCTTAGTCCCTTATTTATCAGGGGTCAACACTTCTGAATGAACCACCAACTATTCCAGCATATGTTTTACGCAGCGGATGCCCTTCTAGCTGCAAGCCAGTGCTGGGAAACACCCATACACACTCACATTCACACACACTCATACACTACCGCCAATTTAGTACATGCAATTCACCAATTCACCTCTTTGGACTGTGGGGGAAACCAGAGCACCTGGAGGTAACCCACGCGAAGACAGGGAGAACATGCAAACTCCACACAGAAATGCCAACTGGCCTGGCCTGGACTGGAATTTGCGACCTTGTTGTAAGGTGCCTCGTCAATTAACTTGAATGGATTAATAGTTTATTTATTAATTGATTTTTTCAGCTTAGTCCCTTTATTAATCTGGGGTCGCCACAGCAGAATGAACCGCCAACTTATCCAGCATATGTTTTCCGCAACAGATGCCCTTCCAGCTGCAACCCAGTACTGGGAAACATCCATACACTCTCATTCACTACGGACAATTTTAGCTAACCCAATTCACCTGTACCAAATGTCTTTGGACTTTTGGGGTATACTGGAGCACCCGGAGGAAATCAACATGGGGAGAACATGCAAACTCCACACAGAAATACCAACTGACCCAGCAGAGGCTCGAACCAGCAACCTTCTTGCAGTGAGGCGACATTGCTACCAACTGTGCCACTTAATTGTTTACATTAAGACGAAAATAGACGCTAGTAAAATTATCATTTTAAACTGACTTATGGCTATATAGCCTAGTCACACATGTGCCTGTAAGGATGTTTACATGCCAGGCAAAATAAATATAATGGAAAAAATAACTTAGCCGATATGCTTGTGTCATTTCTGATCCTTTTCTGAGGAAAAATACTCACTCATTTACACAACCGCATACAAATCAGCTAAAGAACATGCATGTAAACACACTCAGAGTATGAATTGTTTATTCTTTTTATTTTATGATACTCACGGCAGAGCTGTTTTGTCCTCCATGTTCCTGGTTGTCCTCCAGCATGTGTGCATTGCTGTGAAATCTCTGTTAGGGTGTTGCACAGACAGTCGTGGTTGCCGTAACATTGACACAGGTCGCTCTCACAGGCTTTTTCAAATGAACTCATGTCCATCACATCATAACAGCCACTAAACCCTGGACTGCTGAGGTACTGCTGGCAAAGGCTTGTCTGGGACATCGAAAAAATGAACATGTCTTAAATTGGCTGCAACTACTGCTTTTGTTGTTGCATTGCACCAAAAAATATGGATGTATTGATTTTATGCAAATAACTGATACACTATATTGTTAATCATTTGATTGATTTATTGATCCATATCAATGTATTGTTACTTCCCAATAGCTGACTTTGAAATCCTGAAATTCAGACATATTTACAAAATCTGTACACATTTAAATTGTCATAATACCTGGTTTTCACATTGACCATTAAGTTGCATTTCGATGTGCCCACAGGATTCAGATGAAGACTCTTTCCATGTAGCCAAGTCATATTCTATAATAAACAAATGTTTGTATATTGTATATTAAAATATCAACAGCTGAATTACTTAAAGAGGTTTCATCAACATGTTTACCATTTTTAAAGGCATCATCAGACTTGTCACCATTGAAGTTTCCACATAGTCCACAGGTCTTTTCTTTGTACTTTTCTGAAAGCTCAATCTGTAAATGAAATAGTGGACAAATCAAGGACTTGTGTAAAACTTGCAACATTTCTGTGTGGCTCATTCATTGTTGCAGAAAGGCTGAATAAAATCCACAATAGCAATCATCACAAATAACCAAAGGGAAACTTCCTGATTCAGTCTGACTTTGGTATTTGGCACTTTGGCTCTTTTGGTACTTAGTAGTCTATGTCTGTCATTGTGCTGTGTTTATCTGACAATTAATGGTGGGTATATTATTCTAAAGACATGCCTGAAGAGGGGGCAGGGAGTGCCAGTTTATTTTCATTCAAAGGCTCTGGTGCAAAACAGCTAAAATTTACTCTGACTGAAAAAAAAAATTTACATTTTCAACGGGGTATTACTGCGATCGCCAGCAATGTTGCCTCTGCTGAAGATCACTTCCTATATTCCTACCAAACTACAACTCCCAGAAGTTACGAAGGTGCAGACAAGGGTAGTTCCAAATGCAGCTTTGAGAATGGTCAGACAGGCAGGAGTCAAAACCCAGTAAATACAGTGCAATAGATAATCCAAAAGCGTATTTCGAAATAAGACAGGCAAAGGTTTAAAACAGGCGGCAAAGCATCAAAAAACACGATAAACAAACCAAACATACCAAAAAGTCAAAATACGGGATAATAAGAAACAAGGAAACCGCTTTGAATCAAATGCAACAGCTAAACAAGACTCAGCAAAGTGTATGGGAAAGTTAGTCCATGTAATCAGTAAAGATGAGCTTCAGCTGTGTGTGTATCAGTGTCTATTGCTGCCAGCTGTGGCAGGAATTGATGAGTGCTAAGACTTCAGGAATACAGGAAGTGTATTCAGATCATTTATTATACCACATGTGTATTCAATGATCTGATAACCTATTTTAACACATTCTGGAGACACAAAAGACTTAATTTAATCGTGACTCAAAGTACAGAAGAACTTGATTTTTTTATGATCTTGAAAGTAAAGAGTAGAAACAAAATGTTTCTAATTGTGTCCTGACAAATATAAACACACAATAAAAAAAACAGGCATCACAGAACAAAATTGTTTCTTTTAAAAATAACTGTATGCAAACATGGGCAACTATTTAATAAATATCATGTACTGTGGAAAATGCGTGAGCACTTATAGATGGTATTTTAAATAAACCTTCTGTGTTTACACAGTAATACAAAACTCTAGACATTTCCACATCCAAACATGTCCTACGGTGAACTTTAACACCTTGAATTTACAGCAGATATCCTTCACAAACAATTAAGAAATGTGACCTCAAGTTGATTGTTATTCACAATACTACTAAATTCTTAAATTTTATTTACATTACTACAGATCATACATTTCGCCATTAGTCTAAATGACATAAGTTGAGTGCAAAAGAAATAAGCATGTTAACTGAAAATATTCAGTTCGTTCAAATATTAAACACCACCGTTACATGTCTTTGCAGACAATGATTTATCGAGTTTTGAATAACTTTTTTCCCAACATGTATATAATTTAGCGGAGTAGAAGTTTCCCAGAATACTTGAACTTGCAGTTTATTAATAAAATTACTGTGTTAGCCCTTTCCAATCCTGTTCTTTTACAGTAAAATTGATCTTTTAAAAGCACTTTTTAATTCACGGTCATGGTTTGGACATGTTACAAGACACTTAGATGACTGAAGGCAGACCTTATTTATCCTAACGTACAATTTTGCATACTAAATACAGTACACTTAACCCAAATTGTTGACTTTACTAGAAAATTGTGTGGAAACCCAATAACTGAAACCACTTAAGTTGTTGAAAGTAACAAGCTAAATGGTTAAATTAACATATGGTTCTATGTCAGGGTTGTCGAACTTAATTCCTTGAGGGCAGCAGCCCTGCATAGTTTAGTTCCAACCCTGCTCCAACACACTTACCTGTAGGTTTCAAACAAGCCTGAAGGACTCAATTAGTTTGATCAGGTGTGTTTGATTAGGGTTGGAACTAAACTGTGCAGGGCTGTGGCCCTCCAGGAATTGAGTTTGACATCCTTGTTCTATGTAGTTCTATGTTAACTAAACTAGAGCTGATAAGTTTCAACTAACCACTTAACACGTTTAAGGCAATAGGTTTCCACACAATTTAATGTCAACTAGTTGTGTTAAGAGTGCATTCAAACATAACAGACAATAATAAACATACCAAAAACGATCTGTCCTTCTCCCAAAAGACAGACACTCCATGTTTGTTGGAAATCTTAACATTTGGGCTCAGCTCAATGGTAATTCCATCCTTATAGGTTGAATCGTACACCCTGTTGGAATAGGAATATAAACCAAGGGAATAGGGAATATAAACCAAGACATTTGCATTTAGTGTAAAATTTAGTTAATAAAATAATAAACACTCACACATCAATATTGCAGATATTTAAAATTATCTGGCATACCTCAAAGCTATGTATTGGCCCCTTAAAATTTATGTTTATCTGATGACAAACAACTTTAGCACTTTCTTTTTTTAACAGTCAATTTTATATGTAACTTTAAAACCATGTTAGAGTAGGAAAAAACAACATTCAACAAAAGAAATCTTTTGATTATAAGAGATTATAAAAAAGACATTTGAATGTAGTCTTAAATTTAAAGTTTAGTTGGAAAAGAATAAACACACTTACACTTGGTCTCCCATGATGATGTCGTTGTTGGTGAGTACAATGACTGTCCCTTCCAGATTTATCGTGATTTTGCCAAACGTGATTGAGTTATTTACAATCTGTCTTTGGATTTCAATGTTGAAATCAGACACGGGACTGTTGCACATCTTTACCAGAACGTAGCTGCACGTGTCTGGCAGTTGAAAGAAATGACCGTCGAATGTCTTGAAGTGGAAATTGCCCCATGTGCTGCAGATCGTGGACTGATGATCTGGATTCGGTACGGCTACACCAAAAGAGAAATCATTTATGAATCTGATCTTTTCTAAAGACTAAAGATGATTATAAAAACTATGAAGGACTGCGTACCTTCAGTTACAATCACATTTGCCATGCCTGGGAACACTGAAAATAAAAAGGCGAGGAGAATTTTATCCATCTACATTCACACATTTTATCATTTGATTTAGGGCTGCACAATATATCGTTTTAGCATCGATATCGCAACGTGATCATTCGCAATGATCACATCGCAAGTATATGCAATGTTGATTCTGGATTATATTTATCATTTCGCATTTGTTTTTTGAGGTTCGTGACTGTGTGAAGATTTTAAAAGCATTCGGGCATGAGAAATTGTACCGTTTGTATCTTTGACAAATTAACAACAATTAATTTTATTGAATTGTATATAAAACAAAGGCTATACATACAGTATTATTTTACATTTGATTATACAATTACTGTATATCTGAATACAGTTCGACTTCTCAGAAAATAATAAAACACAGTGTATTTAATTGGTATCGGTTTCTTTATTAAGATTATCTAAGCTTGTCGATTATTTATTATATTGTATCCACTCCGCTAAAAAAATTATCCAAATCAATCTAAAATGATAAATTCTTTCCAAATAGTTATTCAACTCATCAAGTGAAATTGTAAACATATCGCAATATGAAGCACAGAATAAAAAAATATTGCAATGTTAGATTTTTCAAATATCGTGCAGCCCTATTTAAATGAATAATTAAAAATCTAAGGGTTCTCATTTGCTAATTGATTGACTTTTAATTGTCTTAGTATTCATGATTAATTTTGTTTGGTAAAATTAATACAGTAAAACTATGAATACTTTATATTTTTAAAATCACAAGTATCCGCTTTTCCTGGTTTAGATCCTATTTGCCTTGACAAAATCATTTTGTTCACTAGAACTAGAATATTAATTGCTTTAATTTAAGTAAAATGAACCTTGAAAGCCATATTTAGGTTAGACATTAAACTGATTTATTGATCATATTATTTTATACAGTCTTCAAAATGTTTTTTTTTATTACAGACCTCTGGCATATATAAATCTACCTTTTGACATGCATATTGGGCTCTATTTTAACGATCTAAGTCTAAACTCCATGGTGCAAAAGCATGAAGAGCATGTTCAAATCCACTTTTGCTATTTTAAGGACGGAAAAATACGGTCGCATGGTCTAACAGGGCTGTGCTTGTTCTCTTTTGTTTTTAGCATAACGTGCATTAAACCAATCAGAGTCTCATCTCCTTTTTCCTTTAGGATTCAGTTGCTTCACACCATGACACATTTGCAGTTTACATGGCAGACTTTGTAAGAGGAAACCTGAATGCTTTATTAGAGAGAAAATAGTTAAACAAAGCATCGGCCACGCAAGGATAAAGAACAAACCTTCTCCATTCAGCCCCTTTACTTTTACTCTTTACTCCTTTACTTTCGTGGATAAGGAAACAGTGTTGTTCGCACTGAAGATATCCATTAGCCTACATATTTAATTTTGTTTGTTAAGCGCACAGATTTGTTTCAAAGCTATTTCTAAATTCTGTTCTAATTTCCAGCAAATTAATAAATGAACAATAATAACGAAGTGTGGTCGAAAACTGAGTAATATCCAAACACGCGTCCTATTCTTACGCCCCATTTGGTGACGCATACATCTACAAAACTTGACAGGTGGACAAATCTAAACTTTTTGTTATAAGAAATATAAATATGCATGTAATAAATAATACTATGACTTATAATAACATTATACAAATGCAGATTGTAATGAATAGACTGAAAAAAAGCCCCCCGAGATTAAGAGGGCATGAAGGCAGTGGTTTTTATTTTTTTTAAATCAGGGTATGCGCTGGTCTGAGAATAGCAACAAATCGCACTGAACACATCTTGCGCCGGGTGTGTGATAGGGCTCATTATGTTTTGCTGATGGCAACAGCTCTATTAGACTCCAAAGCGCAACACTGATTCTACAAAAACTGTGATTCTACAAGGCAATAAATAAAAAAAACGTTTTTGACTTTTTAAAATTATTTATTTTTTCTGTTATTAAATGATATTATGATATTATTCATTTATTTTAAATGTTATTTTTTTACTGATAATTGCTATGATAAATTGTCCCAGAAATCACATTTTAAATGCCATTAATTTCTCTGAAACTACTTTAAAAAATGTATCTGAAAATTCACCTGATTAACACTAATAATGCATTAAATGAAAAACTAAATGAAATATTTACCAGTCATCTGGTCCGTCACTCGAAGGTTAACCTCATCCCCATAATCAGACATAAAATCTTCAAACATAAAAAGACATACACATTTTACTATAATATTGCATATTGTAAAATGAGAACAGAAAAGACTGTAATAGGCTTACCTGCTTGTACTGACTGCAGTCCCACCAGCAGTACGACCCATCTCACCATCCACATCTGGGACATCCTGACAATGAAGACCATGTCCATCCTCCGGGGATAATGTGAGGTTACCGTCAGCCTTCATCTTTTTATAGGTAAAATATTGCTTTGGGGAGAGTATCAAGTTTGATTAAAAGGTGGATCCCACCTATGCAATATCAGAGATTGCATCGAACAACAAATTAATGTTAGCTGTCCTCTAGATCAGTTTGAGATTAAACAGTTTTATGCAAATCTTGGGTGTATACTTTTCGATAATAAAATGACATCATTGTTTTCTAGGGAAGTTAAATAAATTAATTATTGCTGTAGTTCAGGAAGGTCACATGCCAAGCTTACATCTGCTGACATTCAACTGTTCATGCCAATCCAGTTCCACCATCTATCACAGACTGGGTGATATTGACTACATTTCATATCTCTGTTTTTTTGGGATGAATGGCAATATATGATATACAGTCAGGGGCAAGATTATTAAATATCCTGTGAAATTTTTATTCTTTTTCAAATATTTCTCAAGTGATGTTTAATAGAGAATGGATATTTTCAAGGTATCTCCTATACTATTATTTAATAAAATATATTTGTTATTTATTTTGTTCTTTTGGCAAAAGTCTTATTTTGGCTGAAATAAACACAGTTTTTTAAAAATATTTTAAAACAATTTTTAAGGTCAAAATTACTGGCTCCCTTAAAAATTAAATCTTTTTAATGTTTGACTCAACATAATTCATGTTTTGTCTGTCATAAAAGAAATGGCGATTCTTGAACAAATTTTAAAAATATGTATTAATACCTTTATGTGCATGTGTAGTGCAAAGAAGGAAGACAAGGTGAGGATCCAAATGCAGCGTTTAACATATATTTATTAAACAAACCAGAACAAAACTACAACAAACTAGAGAACACACGGCCATCACGGGAGTAACGAAAAAAAAAAACAACGCGAAGGAAACACAAACTGAAATATATAGTCCAGGTAATTAAGTGGAATGCACTGCAGCTGTGTTCGTCTGTATGTGTCTGTGAATGTCCGGACAACAGTCAGCTGGAGCAGGTGTAGATTGGTGCAATGCATACTGTAAGTGGTAGTTTGTGATGTGTGTAGTCCACCAGCGATCTACAGTCCCTAAATTGCTGGTGATTGTTACAAATACATATTAGAAACAATGAAAACACCAAATGCATACATTTTTTTCCAGTATTGGGTTTATTTAGCTTTTTTTTTTATTATTTAGCAAAATTGTTTAATTTAGCAAAATTTTATGGTGATTTGCCGATTTTTGTCCATAGTCATGCTGTGAGAAATGTGGATATCTAAGAGGCAGGGCATGGTGGTAGTGGAGGGGTTATTTTTATGGCTATTTAAGGAGTCAACTGTGACATAAATGACCATTTAGTTTAAAAAAAAAAAAGGGGGGGGGGGGATTTAGGAAGTTTTAGAAGTTTAAATTGTTGGGGTCAAATTGACCCCAGAGGTTAAAAAGTGTTACAAGATATGCAAGGTTAACAGGATACATTTTTTCTCATTGGACACAGAATAAACCACTGAAAGGGTGACTTGCCTAATTAACCTAGTTAAGCCTTTAAATTGTACTTTAAGCTGAATACTAGTGTCTTGAAAAATATCTAGACAAATAGTATGTACTGTCATCATGGCAAAGACCAAAATAAATGAGAAATTAGTTATTTAAACTATTACGTTTAGAAAAATGTTGAAAGAGATCTTAACTCTGTGAACTTTTTTTTAAAGAATTTAAAATTAAGAGTGGTGCTAACAATCCTGACTTAAACTGTATATCTTTGTATTTTTATTAAAACAGAATAAATATTTATTTTCGAACAAAACTTTATGTAAGATCTTAAAATCACATTCATTAAACAGGTTGTAAAAAAAATGCAAAGGCAAGGTTAAACGATTTTTCCCTATTTGAAAATTTATTTCTGCAAATTACTTTAACATTCAATCATTCATTTTCTTTTCAGCTTAGTCCCTTTAATAATCAGGGGTTGCCACAGTGGAATGAAACACCAACTTATCCAGCATGTGTTTTGCGCAGCAGATGGCTTTCCAGCTGCAACCCATCACTGGGAAACACCCATACACACTCATTTACACACATACACTACGGCCAGTTAAGCTTACCCAGTTCACCTATAGCGTATGTCTTTGGACTGTGGGGGAAACCAGAGCACCAGGAAGAAACCCACGCAAACACGGGGACAACATACAAACCCCACACAGAAATAACAACTGACCAAGCCGAGGCCCGAACCAGCGACCTTCTTGTTGTGAAGCTTCTGCTACCCACTTTAACATATCAACTGTAAAAATAATAATAAATACAAATAAAATATATTAAATAAAACTTAATGCAAACACTGAAATATTAGAACAACTTTATGTATTCATCTAACAAACTAACTTTCATTCTGAGAATTGCATTCATTATTAGTCTTAAAAAATGATCCATCCATTAATATAAAACTTTAAAATGTAAAAAAAAAAATGTAATTTAACACTATATGTAAAAATCAAAACTATTATAAACTGTACAGTAAGCTATAAGCTATATTATTATAAAGTTCAACACAGTTGCCTTGTGGCACAAGAGGACCAGGATTGAAAACACTAGCTTAACATATGTGCGTCCGAAATCACATACTTCCATACTAAATAGTGCTCTAAAAATAGAATGCAAGCCGAGTTGTATGTCTGCATTCACAGAATTGGAAAAACAGTATGCAAAAAGTACACAGATGACGTACTACTTCTGGCGAGATTCTAAAGTGTGCATCCCATGGACGCAAAGTTATCCCATGATGCCACACGAGGGAATTCATGAATGTGAGTGAAGCGTCGCAACTGACTTTTGTAGGTCACGTGATGATGACAAATGGCAGAAATATCACTTCCGAGCTCCATTAATACAACCCACATTCATACTGTATAAAACATATTTTTCTAATAATCAAGTAGTAAATTTAAATTCAAATACCTACCGAGTAGTAGACGATTTCAAACGCAATCATGAAACGAGAGGGGCGTGGCAGAGAGCTGTGGGAATGTTCCCGCCTTCACCTTCCCTTAAATTATGCAGTTTTAACTAGGCATAGGACGATAACCGTTTTCAAGGTATACCTTGGTTTGGAAAAGTCAAGGTTTTAAAACAGTCAACATTTTCTTTCAAAAAGTTTTTGTTTTTTACCCAGACATTTAAAAATATATTAAGAGCAGTGATCACAATACTGCAAAACTGTGATATATTTATTCCAAGGTTATCATACCATCAGAATCTTATACCGGCCCATACCTAGTTTTAACTTTTTAGGTTTGTCATGTGACTGCATGTAGAGAGGAGGTTAAGTTATATATGGAGACTAGAGAGAAAAGGAAGACAGGATTGGTAAAAGTCTGCAAGCCAAGACTTGAACTTGGGACGCCTGAAGCACAATGATGCTATACAGTATGTCGGTTCACTGCGCACTATTGGAAATGACCATGCCATACGAGACCACCAGTTCTTACTGGATTGTGGCAGGAAGGGCATCCACTGGTAAAACATTTGACAGAGTAATTGCTGGTTCATTCCGCTGTGTTGACTCTTTGAAAAATATACATCTGATTGTGTTCCACAGAAAATCCCTTTTTAAATAATTAAAATTAAATCAAGATGACTGGAACAACCAGCTGAATCACTGTTGCCTACGCCATACTTTTCTATGCAATTGTTTTTGCACGGTTTGATATGTAGATTTATGTAAAACCAACATCCTGCTTCTTATCTAATGTTCTTTGTTTTTTTCTAGTTTTGCATTGCGTGCAAAGAAACAATTTTAGAAATAATAAATAATGTGTATTTACACAGAAATGTAACTATATCAATATAAAGTGGTCTACTTCCCTTATTGTGTTTGATCAAGATCTTGATACATGATTGTAGCTCCACTGCAGGATACATTAATAAAACATCCTGTAACACTAGATACATCATAAATTAGCACAGTTGAGTGATTGATCCATATCTTGTTTATACAGTACACATACAGTAGGCAAATTGTCACAACTGCTAACAATAAATATATTCAATAAATATACTTAAGTAATATAGAGGTGTATTTAATTAATTCACATATTAACATTTACAAACTAGAAGCAAACCTGCAATAATACCATTTGTGACTAAATTGGCCCACTTTTAGTATGCTTTAAAGTCTACAAGTGGACATTTTTCATTTGTAATGCAAGTGAACTCAAGAGTATACTAGTAGTACACATTTATAAATAAATAGTTTGTAAACTTTGTTCTAAGCTCAGAATTTGGGCATTGAATTTATTGGACACAAGCAGCACGTAGAAACTCCACCAACAATTCCTAGTGGTGCCAGGACTCGAATCTGACTTTAACCACTAGGCCACAAGTGAGCATACTTTCACTAAACCACTTAGTTTTACAATGCTATCATTCTTAGTGGTTTTCTAGTGTTATACTGTGTATTGCAAGTAGGCATGGGCCGGAATACGATATGATGGTATAATAACCTAGGACAAAAATATCACTGTTTCACAGTACTGTGATTACTGCTCTAAAATATATTCTTTTAAAATGTCTTGGTTAAAAAAAAAAAAAAAAAAAAAAATTCTCACCTTTGAACACAATATATTTTATTTTTAGAAACACTTAGGATATTTTACAGCAGTAAACATGTTAGGCTAAATCAGTGGTTCTCAAACTGTGGTGTGTGTACCACTAGTGGTACGCGCTCTTCCTTCTAGTGGTACGCAGAGAAATCCAATATGTCATATGAACATGCAACATACATTTGAAAATGAATAACATGACATATAGCCTGTATTTGTGAGGTCCAAGCAACACTTGCAGGTTTTGATGAATAGGATACTATAGGTAACACTTACATTTAAGTACAGGATTTTTTTTTTTTATATATACTTTTTAAGAACAGTAGCCTACCATTTTTAACGAACTTTTAAAAGCACATTTTAATTTAAACGTTAACATTTTATTTTGTTTGTTCGTTTTTTGTACATATAAGCACAGTACAGTTTTAATGTTCAAACTATTGATAATGTTTAAAGTGGCTGATAATAATAAATATTATTAATAATAGTAGTTAATCTGCCACAATTT